TAGTAGACGAGGTCAGCATTCATCGAAGGATCGGTAAGACTCCATCTCACTCGGAGTGCAGTCGAGTCTATAAGTCATCGTGTCAGAGTTTTGCTACAGACTTATGGGTAGGCCGGTACCCTGTCCCATTTGATGTAATCTTAGAGGCTTTGTAGACAGAGGTTCATTTTGTACAGTATGTCAGAGGCCTTGACGGCCCATATGTTTTCATGTTTTAAGTACAATGGTTTGCTGATACTGTGTTTGCCCACTTATAGTTATACATTACAAGGGTTGGCCATGTGGGCCCATGATAGTTAAAAAAGGAATGAGTCCAGCTAACTCGACCTATGTATGTTCTAGTTTTGGTCAAACGATCATGAGTCATAGAATTTTTCGCTCGGGCCAGCACGCCACCGGGTACCAGCCACGCCTCCCAGGTTTGGGGCGTGACACTAAGTCCGATGTCCTCTCGGTGAGGTCACCACCCAGAGCATCCGCCTCAACTAGACTTTCTTCGAGCTAGGCCCTCAGTGAGAGCACTTGGGCTTGGAGATCGGCACATTGGACCTCGACCCCTTTGCTCACCTCGAGATCTTCCTCTTTCTCTCTCAGTGCTCCCTTAGAGACGCTGCACTTGCCGATGACTCTCATCAACTCGTCATCTTTCTTCTTCAGCTTGTCCCGGATAGCTTGAAAGTTGCCACTCTCACCAAACCGCCTACAGATCTCGCGGTGCTTGTTGCGGTATTCACGGTACTTCCTCTCCATATTCTTGAAAATAGTTTTGCGCCTCTCCTCTCGACGAGCACTCTCTATCTCAAAAATAATGGTGTGAAAAGAAAAAAAAGAAAATGAGAGAAGAAGAAAACGAAAGTCAATCAAAAAATAGAGTGCAAGGCATGGAAACTAGAAAGGTTGGAAAACTTACCCTAAGGGCGAGGCCGGCTATACCCGTCGATAGGGCGGCATCATCCAACATATCGAGGGTCATGCCCTCCATATCGGATAAAAGAGGACCTAAGGACGGAACTACATTCTCTGTATTCACCAGTAATTCCCGATCCATAAGAACCACGATGATCCTCGAGGACCTATCTAACCTGACTTCAACGCGAGTAAACACCTCGCTCAGCATCCGAACCTCATCAGGATCAAGATCGGATCCCGTCTCATAAACGTCCTCAGCAACCCCCTTACCTCTCTCATTGACAAACGAGGTGGGAATATTGACTGGCCACAAGGACGATGGCTCATCTCGCCGCACAGCACCTAAAACCTCCACGGACGGTCCACGGACGGTCCACCAGCTCCGACGCCAGGATCGGAAAGGGGCATGCTCTCTGCGGCCTCCGATGATGGCGGGACTTCAGACTGAAGATTTGCACCGTCTTCAAACACGGTGATAGCTGGCTCACGATCATTCCTTGTAGAGTCTACGGCTCGGATCTTCCCATCGCCGACGTCCAACGACCTCCTTTTACGAGGTACCAACTCCTCCTCTCTCGGTGATGACTGATCTATTAAATGAAGCAAGGGAGAGGCCGGAATCTCAGGTAACGAGGCCATCGATGATCGGGCCGATCTAGCCGAAACAGGAGGTTGAATTGAAGTGGAGGGTAAGGCAGGCCTAGCCACAGTAACAGCAAGGGCGGACCCTGTTGTAGTATTCCTCTATCGAAATGCAGGAGCAGGGGCTCTCGGCCTCCTCGAGGATCCCCGAACTGAAAACATAAGAGAGAAGATTAAGAGGTCGATCCCCACAAAACAATAAGAAACAAGCGACCAGAAGGCCATGACAATAAAGATTAAAAACGGGTACTCACCAGTCACAGAAGGCGTAGGCCCGAACTTCTTTAGGAAGGCCGACCATTTGTGAATTCCCACTGTATGAGGGAGGAACTGACAAACCCAATCGTGAATATCCTCGACCAAAGGAGGGGGTTCGACCTCGGCTACACAGAGAGAAAATATCAATACAATTGAAATTAACAGAACCAACGCGTAATACAATAAGAGAAAAAAGGAAGAGAGATGCTTACGGGCGTAGTTCCAGATCTCGGGGAACCCGCTTGCATTTACTACCACGTCCTCAGTTTTGACGTAGAAGTAATTGAGCCAAAATTGGCTGTTTGCCTTGTCGTCCATTTTCACCACTAGACATTTGCTTCCCCAGTGGCGAAGATGTATCATCGTCCCCCTATGAAAGTTAGGGGCGAAGAGGTGCATCAGGTGGCGAACGGTCACCTCGACCCCGGCTAACTCCGCATACTTCGAGATCATGCGGATGAGTTTGTAAATGTAGGGAGACATTTGGGCCGGGCAGACGCGGTAGTAGCGGCAGAACTCCTCGACCAAAGGAAGGAATAACCGACATGGAAAGGGTACGCATAGAAAGCGCAGTACCCAGGGCGGTGTATTTGCACCACGTCATGCCCTGCAGGAACTTGTTCTATATGAGCGGGAATTTGTAATTTGTCCCTAATTCGGCAAGGCCCACCTCTTTCATCAACGACTCTGAGATCTCAGGGTCGTCCTCAGGCATCTTTGAGAAATCAGATCTAGCCTTCTCACGACGGGGTATTATTTCCTCCACCATAGCAAAGCTATCATCCTCAGCAATAATGGCAACCCCATCGTCATAGGGAGGCATACACACTGCCAAGGGAACAGGTTCAGGTACCCCTAGAACTGGAAGACGCATTAACCATCTTTGTTTATGAATAAATAAAGTGTAAATATAGAAGAGTCAAGAATAGCAAAAGCCACCAAAGTCAGTGAAAGCAAAACACAGAAGTAAAACTGAAAGGGCAAGGATTCTAATTGAAGAAGGAAGAAGAAAGTACAGATATCCAATATTTAGAATTGCAAAGAATGAGGCAAATGACTTTGTATCCCTGTTTATAAGAGTTCAGGCATCGATATCGAGAAAGCAAACCGTCGCTTCCCAGCTCAAGAATCGGAGTGGCAGAGGAACGGGAAACGACGCAAGGTATCGGGAAAATGCGTAATAATGACGTGTGATGACATGACATCACTCTGAAACAATGTGACCCTAGGTTGCGGCTAAAGGAAGGCCACGTTTCCACCCTGTCTAAAAAATGCTACTACTCGACCGGCTCGCCTAAACTTCTCAACCATAACTAACAGAGTCCCTCATCGAGGTCGTCCAGGGTCTGCCTCAATAAACGGAGGGACTAACTGTAAAGGTCAAAATCCATCTCAAGGAGATTTAGCATGAAACAGTTTTATGGAAAGTGATGTGGTCAAGGTCGACTAGTAAACATTAGGGCTCATATTCGGGCAATCAACAACGGCAGAGGTCAAGTATCAAGGACAGTAATAACGGCTAATTTTTGTAATAGGATATTTAAGAGAATATTCCATTGAATATTCTCTGTACTTGTACTTTTAGGGTTGACTGGGGATATGTCCCATATAAATAGAAAAAGAGATAAGGGAAAAGGGCATGTAACATTTTCTGACAAGAACACTTCTTGAGAAGAAAACGCTCTCTCTAGAAAAGATACAAACACTACCTTTCTAATAAGATTCTACCATCCATTATTTCATACTTTCCCATCAGATTCGAGAATAGTTCCAATATTCTAGGATTTGTCTGTCACTCATCACTGTCAGAAAGAGAATCATCAACCTCATTGAATATTGGGTGAATTATTCTCCTTATTTACGTTAATGTCATTTATTGTTATTTATTATTTGATATTTTTCTATCATTACTCCTCTTGAAATATTTAATGCACCACTACATTTAATCCCCCACCAACACTATTTTATGTTATTTGTGCCAACTAGTTATAAATCAAGAGATATTATCATTAACTAAGTTTAACTCCTCATTATACAAAAATAATTAGTTTAAACAAAGCTTTACACTTTTAGGTCAAACATCCTCCTTATAGATATGCCCTGCGTAGGTAATTACGTAACTTCACATAGACTTCCTAGCAAATAAAGGTTATAAACATGCAGATGATTTGATAATTTGGGATGTTGCTCTCAAAGAAATGGAGATTCTCCTCCTCGTTGACTCAAACCATGTAGATTTTGAAAGATATTAAGTAGTTTAATTAATTCATACACGCCAATCAAACATTAGTAATTTATTTTCTGTGAGAAATATATTTCATGAAAAATAACTTCTGGCATAATTTTTGCAAATGGGGAAAAAAAACCTAAGAAAGAGTTGTTAAAGAGGAGTATAAAATAGGGTTAAGGACGATAGAAATTTGGAGGAAGTAGGCAAAAATAAAAGCAGCGATTCTCGCTATCACCAGACATGGAGGACCCATTTCCCCTGCACCTGCACTCGTAATCATCAATGCTAATTGATTCCCCCCCCCCCCCCCCCACTAGCCCCTCGCAACTCAATTACCTGCTGCTGCCCCTGTCCTCCTTTAATTTGATTACCAGTAGCTTAATATACGGAATTTTAAGATTTAAGTAGGCCTACTTCATTAATGCTACTCCATTACTCCTAATTTATCTATTCTGCCTACCGTAGTTGCATAATAATATATCAGACATTAAACCCCGTTGCCCCACCATGCGTAATTATTGCTAGTATTAAAGTATTATTGTTCTTGTTATACTATTACAGTCATTTTATATTTTTTATCTTACAATACATACATGAGTAAAGGTGTTTTATTAGGTGGTCATTGGATGGTTTTATTTTAGTTTTCTTAAAACAACTTTGTGTATGTTGTAAGATTTTTTTTTTTTTTTTTTTTGCGTGAAAGAAAATAGGAGTTACTATTATTTTAGAAAAAGTGGTTGCTGCTTTGCTACAATTTATAGTGAGAGAGAGTATTATAAATGTGTGTTTCTCCATTCATCAAGTATTGGGGGACCCTCTCACGTTGGCCAGTTCACTTTTGCCCTGGAGGAGTGCAAATGGCTAATTAATTAGACATTACTACATGCGATGCTGTATTATAGAGTATTTATTTGTTTGTAGCACTAAATCCAACAACAATAATACTCCACAATAGTGTAATAAGAAAATAAAATGCTCACTGACATTGATGATAGTAATACAGTGTGGGCATTTAATGCATTTGGTTTACCCACTAAATTCTCTAACTCACTTCCCCTATCCCTACTCCATCTTCTCCGCTTTCTTTGTCAATTCCCCCCAGCTCTCAATGAAGGAGTACTTATATACACACACAAGATATTTCCTATTCCTATTCCTATTCCTATTCCTATTCCTATTGTAGCAACAAGTTAACTGCTTCTGTCGGTGAAAGATGGTGCAGCTGGATTGCCCCTCTCCTGCTCCCTGCCATTCTTCTCCATCTTACCGGTTACGTATTCCATTCTCTATCTATTGGAGTACTAATATTAATTAATTATCAACTTTACATGACTCGATTAATTCTCTATTACAGTACTAGTGCTGGTGGCCATCAGCTTCCCTGGGATCATGTGCTCAATATGTCGCCCCGACCTTCCCACCATGTAAGTCATTCGAGCTTTTCCTGCAAGTGTGGCTTTTGAAATGGTTGATTTCATTAATGATAGCGATTAAAATGGTCATAAGTAGCTGAGCAGTTTCCTTTCCTTCCCACTTTGTTCACCTTGTTATAAGATTACAGATTTTGATTCCTGGTCAAAAGCCAATTGGATCCCCTATTAACTAGATTAAGTACATTCAAGTCCGATCCATACAGAGTGATTTTGTTTACCTAGCTGCACTGCCTAATTATCAGATAGGCGGTAACTAGTCATAGTGTCTACTTACAGGATGTCCATGCGGAGAGACCACTAGTTGATCACTCTTCTTTTTGCTGGGAATATAACAAGGATCACTCTCATACTCCCTCTCTTTCAAATGAAACTCCAAAATTCGAGGTACTCGTTATACATTGCTTTCATGCCACAGGCCAGTGACATCATGTAGTAGAGTTATGGTGTTCTCAGCTAACCAATCCATGAAAAATTATACTACTAATTTGTATGCAGCAATTGTTTGCTATTCTAAGAGAGAATCTAATCTGTAAATATTGCTTTCCTGGCAGATGGATGTTTAATTTTTTTAGACAATTCTAAAATTAGGAGCAACATTTTGATTCAATGTCTGTTCATCTCTGTACACACATGCAACGTCTTTTTTTGTTGATATATTGTTGCTCTGCGTTGATATTGAACAATCAAATTCTTTTGGGAATTTAGAACTACTTGATCCTCTTGTTGACTCTGGATTCTGAACTCATTCTTGGTTGTATCTGAAACCTTATGAGTTAAGATAGTATTTAAAATTTATTCTTATCTTATATGGCTGAGCATAAGTTTGACCTTTTAATTTATCTAATTGATGAGTCTCTGTGCGTATTCATTTTTTTTTATGTTTTTCTCGAACATCATTTTATTGCCTGCAATTAAAAATTATGGTTTGTTATCGTCTCCTTTCGTTTCTTCCATAACCATTATCTCCACTCTCTGTTCTCGTAGATGGGAATTAATTCGACATAGCTAAGGGAACCAGTGCATCCAAAATGAATCCAATATTTGCTATATTCAAAATGAATCCAAGTTTTGTAACTGCTGTATTACATTGTTGTATGGAGAAAGCTGGCTTTCAGATTCTTAGATTCATGATTGACTAATCTCTTCAGGTGTGTGGTCAGAGTTCAGCAAACATCAAGCTCAACCATGCCTTATATATGAAACTTTTTGGTATTTCAAGTAAAGAGAGAGTTTCCTAAGTATCATATTGTGTGATCATCTGTGGGACAATTATCTTTTTAGTATTCTGTTCCATGAATGAAAAAACGCAACTATGCCCCATCTTAACTCTTAACCACTTCCTTTACATTTTGTCTGATATTGGAACATCGGACATGATATTAATGAGTCTGCCATAACTTTGTTGCTCATATTTGAAGGGTCTTAATGGCATTACAGTTTCTGTGGTATGTTTCTTTTTTCCAATATGCAATTCCTTTTTCAGCGCAACTGTGTTTCCTTGCAGTGTTCCATGGAATTGATGAAAGAGATTGCTACTCTCGAAATTGAAATAATGCGTTTGGAACGATACTTACTCTCACTTTATCGGGCAGCTTTTCAGCAGAATCTCCCAGCTTTATTGGAAACTCAGAAAAGCCATTTACAGGGCAAGATAAACTCACCTACCCAGTGTACAACTGACCAATCATATTCCAGTGTGGAACTAGATATGTCAAGATGTGATACGGACCAATATGATCGAATCTCCACTGCAGCTGCTTTGGCTGGTTCAAGTGATCAGATGCAGACTGCTAAGAAGTCAGCGTCTAGAAGGGTTATACATCCAACTTCTGAACATTTACATATAGCTAAATTGGTGTTACATTATATGTTATTTCAGTTAGAATTTTCTCTGTGTTCTTTCCTCGAGGCATAAATGAGTGACAAAATGTCTATTATGAGTAAGTGCAGGAAAAGTTTGCTGATTCTATCCACCGTAGCCTTGCAGATCATCTCAGTGCCTCTCGCATGGATGACATTCTTAGTTATCCTGATAGGCTGTCTGAAGAAATAGTCAGATGCATATCCTGTATATACTGCAAATTTGTCAACCCTGAAATTCTAGCTCAAAAGGGGTTATCAGTTTCTTCTACTTCATCATTGTCATCATCGAGCACATTTTCTCCGAGAAATCTTTCTGGCAGCTGGAGCCCACATCACAATGAGGATAGCACTGAGAAATATGAATTTGAAGTCTGTAAAGATGATAGGCCATATTCTACAATGATAGAAGTTATGAAGATATGTCTAGATGATGATAGTTTCAATTATGCCACAACAATGCTGCATAAGTTCAGGTTATTCACTTCAAAGTTCAAACGCAAGTAGTTCAAATTTAATACTATTTCTAGAGTTTGAGTATTAGGATCTTCAATACCTGCTAGTGTGGACTTGATCAAGAGACGCATGTTAAGAACTGCTTGAGAAGCTTACCTATATAAATCGACCAGTTTGAACTTCTCATCCTTTTCTCTATATTAATTTGAAACCCGTAAAGGTACCATCTGGGGAAAAAATTAATTGTAAATTGTAAGTTTTACAACATCTGAGATTATTTCAACTGTGTAAGTTGTTTTTCTCCCTCCCTTTCTCCACTAATCACGGCTAAAGAGCAGATGCAACTTCTAAACGGAGAAATGACAAGAAACAATCTGGAAATACTCAATATAGTTAAAAGTTTGTTCTTACTAATTTTATGATCTGCAGGTCACTGATTAAGAGCCTTGAAAAGGTTGACCCAAGAAACATGAAGCGTGAAGAAAAGCTAACATTTTGGATCAATATTCACAATGCCCTGGTGATGCATGTATGATTTTCTTAAAGTTTCTCTTGAACATTAACTTAATACTTCATTTTACCTTAAAACAAAATGATCTGGATTATCCCATATATTGATGGAAAGAACTTATGAATCTACAAAATCATCTAAGGTGGCGCTTTTGCTTTAGAATTTCAACCTTTCAATTTTCATATTCTTCTTGGGAGAATGACACTCTCAGTTATAGTTCTCATCGGCAGTACAACAGTATCATACCAGGACTAAATGTGCTGTTCAATAATCATATAAAGTGCCATTATGGAATGCAATATACTTCCTTTCAATTGGCTAAGTATAATTTGTACTTGTATCGACTATTCATGCACTCATTGGTCAAGACTAACATTTGATATGGCCTCCTAATCTGGTGGTTACTCAGTTTGTCTTTCTTTTTAACTATTTTATCTTTCCTTTTGAGACCTGTTATGAGGTACTATATGACTTCTTCGCAGGCTTATTTAGCCTATGGAACTCAAAATTCTGTCAGAAGTCCTTCAATCTTGAAGGTAAAAGGAATAGCCTACTTTTATTTATATTTACTAGTCTATATATAGTATTAGGAAATTTGAGATTTGTTGTAAAAATATGCAGGCAGCCTATAATGTGGGTGGGCATTGCGTAAATGCTTATGTCATACAGAGCTCCATATTAGGGATACGACCACACTACTCTGCACCGGTATGCTTAATTCTAGCAACATCTTATTACTACTAAGTTCACATGCATATGTAATTCCATAATAAAATCACATAGGTTTCTGTTGTACTTCTAGGTTCTTTTTTGCGATCTTACCTGACTGTGGAGCGTCAGCATTATATTCTTCAAGTAATAAATTGTTGCCGGATACCACTTTAGTTTTAGAGAAATCAGAAATGCTTGGGAATATTTGCATACTTTACTTGATAAAAAGATGCTTGGTAATCTTAATATTTTGTCCTCGTCAGTTTAAGGAAGGCGTGCTCTGACAAGGGGGAGATGTCAATAAAGTACAAATGTAATTCAAAACACTTGTTATCCTCGAACTTGAACTAGTATGCTGGACGAACATGACTGTCATAGTGTTGCTGTCTTCAGTTTTGCTACGATTGCGCAACAGTATAGTGATGGTAACCTGGTTTACATGATAAGAAAAGAAAGATGCAGATGAAAACAAACAAGTATAGCTTGTTAAAGCATACTTATGCTTCACAACTTGCGCACTGTCTTATCCAACTTCTTCTTTTTCTAAAGTGTATTCCTGTTCCAGCTTTGCATCTCCGACGTTGTAACTTTCAAATTCAGATCCTAATGATATGAGATTCATGACCCATACGGACTAGCATTTTACATGAGGATCTTTTGTAGCATGCCTTGCTATCACTGTTTCAAAATTCTGTATTGATGTTTATTTTATATATGGACTGGATGCTTCTCTAACACAATATTAATGCAGTGGCTACAGACGCTGTTTTCTCCAGGGAAAAAGCTTGTGGTAGGAAATTCCAGACACACATATGCCATTGAGTACCCTGAACCACTTGTTCACTTTGCACTCTGTTTGGGTGCATCTTCTGATCCTGCGGTAATGTTCCTGCAAGCTTAGCTAAAATATTTCATGGACTTTACTTTATTAGATTGAATATTCAATGTCACTATGTGCATTGTGAGAATGAATTTCAATCTGACCATGTAATCTGCTGGGCATATGCAGATCCGGGTTTACACAGCGAAGAATGTATTTCAGGATCTTAAGGCAGCAAAAGAGGAGTTTATACGAGGTACTGTTTGCATTAACAAGGACACAAGGATTTATCTTCCCAAAATCATATGCTATTTCGCAAAAGATATGTCTCTGAGCATGGATGGACTACTTGAAACTGTCATGGGATCTCTACCGGAAACTCAAAGGAAACAAGTCAGATCCTGCATGAAGAGCAGTCCCGATAAGTTCATTTATTGGTTACCACAAAGTTGGACGTTTAGATATTTGATCCAGAAACAAGTAATCCAAGGAAGATTATCTATTTAACTGTCAATATTAGTAGCTTAGTACTTATTTCTCTTCTTTAATTGGTGGGACGTGTCTGTTGGATATTCAACAAGTTAAAAGAGATGTGGTAGTTTAAAAGATGGGGATATGTCCTACCATATGACGAGAAGTGTAAGTAAATTAAGGACTCTCTTTATCTTTACTTTACTACCACGGTGCCTCCAGTATGCCACGTATACTCAAAATTATGTCAAGACGACTTGTCTATTTTGAACAATTACTTCTACTATTCTTTTTGGGTGATTTTTAAAAATAGCCAGATTTACAACTGGTCGTTCAAAAATAGTCCAATTTCAAAAGTAATCGAAATTTAGCCACTTTTTATGTAAAGATAAATCTGAGCAAAAACACTGTTCAAATCCCGGAAAATACTCCAGTATATTATGCTGGAATTCCAGCATAAGTATACTTGAACTCCAGCATATTATACTGGAGTTCCAGGATAGTATGCTGGAATTCCAGCATAATATGATGGAGTTCCAGCATAAATACACTAGAACTCCAGCATAATATACTGGAGTTCCAGCAAGTATAATGGTCCAGTATAATATACTGGAGTTTGGAGCACCAGTGCTCCAGTCTCCAGTATATTATACTGGAGCCAGCAAAGTATACTGGTCCAGCATAATATGCTGGAATTCATACACAAGTGCACCGAAACTCCAGTATATTATGCTGGACTGGTCTCTATTGCAGCAAAACGGTGGCTACTTTTCATTGACTTGGTAAATGCTGGCTATTTTTGATTGACCAGTCCGAAAACTGGCTATACCGTGAAATTTTGGCATTCTTTTTTTCCCCTGAAATTCTTGTCAAGGTTGTACGCCGAAATACACGGTAAATTGGTAACACTATCCTTAAAGAATGTAATATGTTTTGTTTTGTCCTACATGTCTGCTTTGTTTCCGAAACGAGCATACAATTTCATAAGCTTTTTTTACTACACAGAAACGATTCATAAGCTGGTTGTGATAGGGGTACCGCTTTTTTATGACTTGACGAGGGTATTTTTAACGTAATAGCATAATATAACATGCTTATTTTTTTTACACCTTAGCTTATCATCATATACAAATAAATCAAATTTCGTTTTGACTTGAACTCTAGACATGTTGATCACGCCCAAGTTTTCCTTATAAAAAGGACTAAGCGGTCGTTGCAAATATAATTCGGTTTACAAATCCGGGTCGAACTAAAGTTTTGCTACAATTGTTTACTATCACTAAGAAGACAAGCTCGAACAATTCCTACGCTATAAATATTAAGATTTTTATATCTAATAACTAATAAATTAAAGGAGTAGATTACCAACTAAAGATACTAGAGGTTAGAGAAAAGATTAAGGAGAGATCTAGAGTTATGATTTCCCTAATTATCGGAATCCTTCCCCCAACGTCTTCTATAATTTCGCCTAAGTATTCTCTACTGATCGTGAGTACTTTGGGTGTCGTAATTCTCTCTCAAGCAACTACCACAATTTACTAGACAAATTCTCTCGAACTACGCTAGTTGTCACTAATTCACCGCTCACTATGATTGCACCAAGGTTACGTTACCTCTAGTCTCACCTTTAAACCCTTCGTATTGATTTCTCACATACGTTAGGAGTGATGTTATTCAACAACCACCTAAATGTGTACCCTTTCTCAAGCAATACACACTAAATAGGCACAGTTAATTGATGGTCATTCAATCAACAACAATAAACACGTAGTTAAACAAGTAGAGAAATCCAAAGGCTAAGTTATATAAAAATGTAATAAGAAATCATCCTACAAAATGTTGATACACAATTTTTCCCTCATATTTTTAAATTGCATATATATATATANCATTAACTTGATCATCATTGTTTCCTCCCTTGTTAGAGGAGGGTGTCTCATTGAATCTTTCTTCCACACATTGTGTCCTTTTGTTGTAGACTTTGTAGGATTTGCTTTGAGAGGAATATCCCAAAAACATTCCTTCATCAATTTTTGCATCAAACTTCCCAAGTTGGTCCTCCCCATTGTTGAGAACACAGCATTTGCATCCAAGGGTTCTCAGATGAATTATCTTTGGTTTTCTACCATTGAGCAGCTCATAGGGGATTTTGTTTAAGAGGGACCTGATTATACACATGTTCACCAAGTGGCAAGCAGTGTTTATTGCTTCTGCCCAGAAATATTTTGAAACTTCACCTTTACTTGGGCCAACAATATATATACACTTTCAAAATAGTACATATGCATCATCATTTAGCTTATAAGCCTATACAAGTATTTTTCATAATTTTTAAAGGTTTTAAATCAATTTCTTTGTGCATTTTATTGTATAAATACCTAGTAATTATCTTTCAAATTATTTTTATGATGATTTCATCATCTATACTTATCATTTACACCAACCTGAATATTTTTTAAAATATTTTACTATATTTTTTATAATTATATTTTGCATTTTTTAGAGTCTAATTTGCACATTTTTTAAGGCGTCCATTTGGCATTATATNTGGCACACAGCCTCTACTGTTGTGACAACTTCAAGTTAACTCTAACTTGAAAACTCTAAGTACCTAATACAATTGCTTCTAGATAAGCTGAAAGGTACAATGTAAAATCACCTACTACAATTGAACTAGAATAAAAGATAGACACTTGGAACTGGTTCTTCTATCTGGTTCAAGTAGCTTCAGGTTTGCACGCTTGAATCACACACGAATTGCTTGCAAAATTGCCTCACTATTTTGCTCTCAATTCACGTTTAACTTCTGCTTGTGTGCGTTACCTGTAAAAGAGAACAACACTAACATTTAAGGAGTTAGCAATTAGAGATTGACTAGGATACTGATGCTACTCTTCCATGGTGGAAGAGTTCTAGTTGATCTCATACTCTAACTCTATCCTTTTCCTAAACCGTGTTCTCTTTGAGTAAGGAGTCTTTCTCCTTATCCAATATGCAAACTTTTCGATCATGATAAGGAGATATCACTTCTGATAAGTTAGGTTTATCTCCTTCACGTGCATCTCACATGTTTGAGTTGATCATAACTGTGCTTCACAAGATGGACCTGGTCCATATCTGAGTTCCTTTGTCAGTCTTCGAAACTTCACCTTTACTTGGGCCAACAATATATATACACTTTCAAAATAGTACATATGCATCATCATTTAGCTTATAAGCCTATACAAGTATTTTTCATAATTTTTAAAGGTTTTAAATCAATTTCTTTGTGCATTTTATTGTATAAATACCTAGTAATTATCTTTCAAATTATTTTTATGATGATTTCATCATCTATACTTATCATTTACACCAACCTGAATATTTTTAAATATTTTACTATATTTTTTATAATTATATTTGCATTTTTAGAGCTAATTGCACATTTTTAGGCGCCATTTGGCATATATTAATGCCATGTGGAAGCTCACATAAGAGGAAGACTAGCATTTGTGAGAAGATTCTAGAGAAATATGGATATTTCCTTAGGAAGACCCTAGATCCTTATGGATTTGCTAGGAAAGTCCTTGGAATCTTCTAGGTTTATAGAAAATTCTAGAGAAGGGACTTACTTGTAAATATTAAGGGCTTGTGTAATAATTATTATTTACACACTAGCCCCTTGGAGACTAGTATATAAAGGGGGCCATTCATTTGTAATTCACCAAGCAAACAATTCAAGTTCTCTCTAATACGAAGCTTCCTTTAATAATTCTCTTGTGTTCTTTCTACCATTCTCTTAGCGATCTTGAGTGTAGCAAGGCTGACTTGGCATAGAAAGAACGTGAGCGAGTTGTCAAGTGCCACACGTGTACTTAGTTAAAAACTAAGGACGTGACAATGTGGTATTAGAGCGAAGGTTTCAACTTAGGGAATGGCGAACGACGGAGAAATTAACGCTGCCAACACCCAAGCCAACGTCATCCAGAATGCTGTTGGCAAGAGCGGCCGTGGCAAAAAGAGGAATGCCACTAACAAGAGCCAGGAGGTGCCACCCGAGTTGTGTCAAATGAAGGGCATACATCCCAAGAACCATCTGCCACTGAGGCGAGCGAGGATGAAGTGGAGGTCCTGCCCGAGGACGTCTCGCTCAGTAAAGAGTGGGTGATGAGGATGAACGCGGGGATGGACGCCGTGGAGATCTTTGGCCAACGCTTGGGGAAGGTGGAAGGCACCCATAGCGTTCTTGAGGGGCACACTCTTGAAGAGATTGAGAGTATCCGAAATGACTTGGAGGGACGTACACAGACCGAGATGGAACTAAGCAAACCATCACTGCCTTAGAGTGCAGACTTATGGAGGCTTTGAGTACTATCGATGCTGTGAAGGCAAAGATAGATTCACTCGAGGAGCATGTTAATGCTGGCGTGACCGAGGCAGCCAACAATGTTGTGGTGTCAAGAGTGGCCAAGATCGAGGCTCCCGAACCACCGGTGTTCAAAGGTGTTCGTGATGCACAAGAAGTGGAAAACTTCCTTTGGCACTTGGAGAACTACTTCAGGCATGGCAAAGTGAGGGATGACGAGGCCAAGATCAACACTACGGTATTGTACCTCTCAGAGACTGCCATGCTTTGGTGGAGAAGGAAGATGGTCGACGTGGATAAAGGTCTATGTACTATTAGCACATGGGATCAGTTCAAAGTCGAGTTCAAGCGACAGTTCTTTCCAAACAATGTCTTGTACGAGGCAAGGTGCAAGCTTAGGGAATTGAAGAAAACAGGTAGCATACGTAACTATGTCAAGGAGTTCACTACCCTTATGCTTCAAATCCCCAACCTGACCAATGATGACTTGTTGTTCCACTTCATGGACGGGTTGCAAAATTGGGCGAAGCAGGAGTTGCAACGCCGACAAGTCACTGATATAGACCAAGCCATAGTGGAGGCCGAATCATTGATGGATTTCAGGCATGACAAGCACGACAAAGGCAATGGCAAGGAGTCAAAGGTTAACAATGTCAAAGGCGGGGGAGATCGTGGCAAAGGCAAGGAGATACATCAATAATACTCCAAGACTCAAGATTCCAAAAAGTCGAGTGGTCGTCAGGGCTACGCCGAGAAGAAGGCACAGGTCGAGAAAAAGGGATGCTACATATGCAGAGGGCCGCACGGCTTCAAGAATTGTCTTGACCTAAAGAGCCTCAGCGCCATAGTCCGTGAACGAAAGGAGCAGCCGCAAGGAGAGAGTTCGAGAACCGCACAGTTAGGTATGA